GTTTGCTGCCTGAACTACCATTAGGCTAAATTTCTTCTAGGTCAGACTTCATTTCCTGAAGGTTCACTGGCAAACGCATACTTTCATGGTCGATATGAAGGCTCCCTTTGCTGGGGCCTCAAATGTCATTTGGATTAGGATGGACGTATGGCTATTGTGAAACACAAACTCCTATCTAATAAAGGAATTAGCAATTAATCCTATAAAAGTATTTTGCAGTTTTGTATGATCATGTATGTGGTTATTTTTGTTTGGGGTGTTTTTTGTTTCTTTCTTTTTAATAAAGCGAATAACCTTTTAATGGTGATTACAAACTCTCATACAGCAAGCCCCTCGCTTCCTGTTTTAACCATAAGAGCTTTGCCTTGCTGCCTCTGAAAAAATTCCCAGCTTTCACAGAAGGAGTGAGTCCTTCTATCTGGAAATAGGTGATGAGAACCTACACAGGAGAGCAAAGCTAAGATGCAGGTGTTTGGAGGGAATTTACACAAAGCTCTGGGAGAAAGAGTCGGTTGGGGGGCGGGGGGAGGACATTCAGGGCCCCTCTCACTCAGCCAGCCCCAGGGTAAGAATGAATGAGAGCTGTGTATGTCTCCAGCAGCCACGTGCCCCTGCTGGTGCACGGAGCCCTGCAGACCCTGAGCTGTGAGACTAGCAGAGAGGATCGCAGGCCTCTGCTCCTCAGTACTCCCTCCTCACTGCCAAGTGGCACTTGGTTGCTCGACAGGAAAGAGAAATTTTTCTGTTGGAGCAGCTAGAAATCCTTTCCGCCCATTTCTGGCAATCAAATTCTCCAGAGTTATTCCCCCACTCATCACACAAGCTTTCAGATATATCCTACTTATTGGGTTAATTTCTTTTATGGGAAAAGGCCTCATTTTCCATTACTGACTATCTCTATGTGGCACACTTGTGTTGTTGCGAATAATCCATAATCAATCTATAAATTAAAATTGGGGTGAGTTTATTATGAGCCAGATCTGAGGACTATAGCCCAGGGGTTTCCTTCCCCAAGGAAGGAAGCACACCGAAGAAGTGGGGTGTACAGGGTGGTTATATAACATCTTGGAACAAAGAGCATATATCACCTGTGACAGGAATATCTCTTTTACTGCAGTCACGAGATGCTTAGCTAGCACAGCAGGGGGGTGATCAGAAGGTCAGTGGTCACAGTGTGAGCACAGCAGGTTGGTAATTAATCCCTAGTTTCCAGGAAGAGATGCTTATCCTTAAAGAAATGCCAATATGGGGGGAGCTACATCCTTATCTTTAAGGGCGTCATTCTTGTCCTGGGGACAGTGTGAATGTTTATAGCAGATGGACATCACGTTTTTTGGAAAAAGAAGATCAGGCAGAATTAGTTTTAAACCAAATGGTTTCCTTATATACGCCAATATATCCTATTCTTTGGCATTTATTCATCACTCAGAGGACCTGGACTTCTCCACCTGTTGTCAGGACACAGGCTGAACAGCAGTGCAGTCCCGCCAGAACCAGTGGCCCTTCACTGGGGCACCACTATTGAAAATGAAAAAAATTCAGTTAGGAGAACAGACATTTAATCTAAATAAAAAGTCAACACTGCTTCACAATGTTATATAAATGCATCTTTTGCATCTGCTTATGTTAAATAGCCATCTCCAAGCATAATCTTCTTAAAATAACTATTAACTTTTTGAAATTGATGCTAATACTTCTTTAGCAGATTTTGTCTACATGTTTTCTCATGGTCAATGACATCACTACAGTCCCTTGCTGGATGGTAAATGTCTACAAACATTCTGTGCAAATTATAAATTCATCATCAACTTCCTTGAGAATCAAAAAGATAGCAATAAATTTTTCATTAAGCATGCACTTTATTTTTATTTTTTTTGAGGAAGATTAGCCCTGAGCTAACTGCTGCCAATCCTCCTCTTTTTGCTGAAGAAGACTGGCCCTGAGCTAACATCCATGACCATCTTCCTCTACTTTATACATAGGACACCTACCACAGCATGGGTTTTGCCAAGCAGTGCCATATCTGCACCGGGGATCTGAACTGATGAACCCCGGGCCGCTGAGAAGCAGCATGCGTGAACTTAACCGCTGCGCCCCCGGGCCAGCCCCAAGCATGCACTTTTTTTAAAAAAACCACTCCTGTTAAAATAAATAGTTGTGTATTTAGATTATACAGTAAACGACAAAACCTCTGTACCAAGAGCATTCAGGGTACTTTGTACACGCTCTATGGAGGGAGTGCTCAGCTTTGCTTTCTGCACGTATTTCGTGTACAACTAATGTATAATTTCCTGTGTTTCCCACTGACCTTGCTGAATGGCAATGTAATGACATTGGACATCTCACAGGCCATAGCACAGATCACATGGCACAACTGACTGACACACTGAGTGGCCTGCAGGGGCAGCAGCATCAAATACCTCTCCAGAGGTCTGGAGACTTGAAGGAATTATCCATCCCTAGACTCTTGGGTCTGAAAGCACTTTGCCTGTGTGTGTGTGTGAGGAAGATGGTCCCCAAGCTAATATCCATGCCAGTCTTCCTCTACTTTGTATATGGGATGCTGCCACATGGCTTGATAAGTGGTGTGTAGGTCCACATCCGGGATCCAAACCTGCAAACCCCGGGCCGCTGAAGCAGAGTGTGTGAATTTAACTACTACACCACAGGGCTGGCCCCCTGAGAGTACATTTTATTATAAGCATCCCACATGCTGTCCTTCAAGAGGAGATACTCATAATGCTGTGTCTGGAAAGGGTCTGGGTACACGTTAAAGTGAAACTTGTTCTCCCTGCACGTAGATCTCACACCATGAGACAAGAACTTGGAGAAGCGACAATAAAAGCAGAGGTCCACCAGTCTTATCCAGGTTAACTCATTGCAGCCATAAATATGAGTATATGATCGATTTTTCAAAATGATCCATGTTTGTTATATTTTAAAAGAAGATACAGTCTCTATTATTAGGGTATAGTGTTGAATATACATATGCATACGTTCTACCTTATTCCTTACTAAATTATTTAAAACTCTTATATCTTTATTTACTTTCCATTAAACTTGCCATGCTTGGTGTGGTGTATTAAAGTCTCTTATTAGTAATGTATTTCTATCTATTTCTATTCTCATCTCATGTAATTTCTGCTTCATGTTGGGGGTTGCTATATTATTTGGTGCATAGATGTTTATAATTTACCTTCTTTGTGAATTGTGGTTTCAGCCTTATCTAATACACTTTTTTGTCTCACTTAAAGCTTTTTGGCCTGAATTCCCTTTGTCTGATATCTTGAATCACCATCCTGTTTTCTTATTGTTTTTATTTTTCTGGTGCGTCTTTGCCCATTTCTTTATTTTTGGTCTTTTGAATCACTGTGTTTGAGGTGTCTATTAAATATAACACAGGGTCAGATTTTGCCTTGTGACCCAACTGGAGAATTGGCTCATTTGTTACTATAACAAGAAAAGAGAAGAAACCAGCAAAGTCTATTTCATTTATTGACATGACTCATGTGTTTAGTCTCAAGACTGTCACATTATTTTATAATTACTTCATGTGTTAGATTTAGTGTATTTCCTTCTTTATTTGGCATATTCTCTTTGCTGTTTATTTTTTCATTTCTTTTTGCATTTCAGAATGTTTGCATGTTTGTTCCAGTGGTTGTCTTCGTATTTATTCCATTTATAGTGCCCTTAATCTCTTTTTTTCCTTGCTGAAGCTTTACCACCTGGTAGGTCCATTGGTGTTCTTCTCTCTCACTTATTATCTACACAACTGTCAATTTTACTCTTCTCCCTTCTGGTTTCTCTCCCTTCTCTGCTCTTTTTTTGGTTCTGTTAATTTCACTTTTTCCAGAATATTTAATATACAGACACAACTCTTCAATCCATGTCCTCACCACTGTTTTAGTCTTAGATATACAATTAAATATATTACAATACAAATAATATATTAATAGTTAACATAATGTAATAATCTATTGTAATAAGATTACATCATAAAATACATTTTCACCACCAGTCCCATTGATCAAGTTTTCCCAGTTATCTCTCGGTAAGATAAAGCTCACCCCCTAGAAGAGTCTACTGCACATGTATACAGTATTTCCTGAGTTACTGCCTGTTGAAACTGTTTCCTTTAACCTTGATACTTGAAAGACAGCTTGGCTCACACTCTGCTGTTAAATCTCTTAAGAATGCTGCCCCATTATTGACTGGCTTTATAAGCAGCTCATGAGAAGTCTGATGCCAGTTTAATATTCTTATCCCTATAAGTTATTGAAATGACTGTTTTGCTTGGAAGCCCTGTAGTGGATTGAACAGTGGCCCCAAAAAAGCTACATCCATGCCCAAATCCCTGGGACATTTGAGTGCTCCCTTATTTGGAAAGAGGGTCTTCGCAGATGTAACTAAGCTAAGGATTTTGACATTGGATCATCTGGATTATCCAGGTGGTCCATAAATTTAACAACAAGTCTTCTTATAAGAGAAAGGCACAGGGAGGTAGATTTGCGAGGGACAGCGGAAGAAACACAGCAGAAGGCCATGTGAAGACGCAGGCAGAGATCGGAGTGATGCTGTCACAAGCCAAGGAATACGCAGAGTCACCAGAAGCTGGAAAAGGCATGGAAGGATTCTCCCTTCAAGGCTTCAGAGGGAGCACAGTCCTGTTGACACCTTGATTTTGGACTTCTGGGCTCCGGCACTGTAAAAAAATTAATTTGTTTTCTTTTTTTTTTTTTTGAGGAAGATCAGCCCTGAGCTAACATCTGCCACCAATCCTCCTGTTTTGGCTGAGGAAGACTGGCCCTGAGCTAACACCTGTGCCCATCTTCCTCTACTTTATATGCGGGACATGCCACAGCATGGCTTGACAAGCGGTGCGTACGTCTGTACCCGGGATCCAAACCAGCGAACCCCAGGCCGCCAAAGTGGAATGTGCGAACTTAACTGATGTGCCACTGGGCTGGCCCCAAATTTTTGTTGTTTTAAGACACCAAGTTTGTGGTAAGTTCTTACAGCAGACCTAGGAAATGAACCCAGGCCCTGAAGGTGTGTGTGTGTGTGTGTCTTTAAAGCTTCATAGCTTGCTAGAAAATGTATCAAAGTTGCTCTTTCTAGATCAATGTTTTCTGGCTATACAGCAGGCCTTTTCAATATGGACATTTGCATTTTCTCCTACTTCTGGAGAGTTTTCTCTGATTATAGTCATGTTTCATGGCTTTGTCTTTCTTCCTCAGGAACTCCTACTATATACGTTGGATTTTATTTGCCTGTCTTCCATTTCAATCTCATCTCTTCAATTCTGCTTGCATCATCTGTTATTTCATGTTTGTTCTCTTGGTTGTTTATCTGCCCTTCTTCAATGTTGAAATTGTTCAACGTTCAAATCTATTTTCCTTTGAGCACTTTGTACTTTATTCTTCATTTTTGAAATGCTTTTGTATTTTTCCTCAATTTATTTTTCTAGGTCAATCAACTCTTGTTTCATTTTTTTCTGTTTTGTGCTCATTTAGGGCCTTAGGGTTTAAATTTCTGATTTGGGTTTTTTTTCTAAATATCTCCAATTGTTTGACCAGAGTGACTTCAGTTTGGAATGTTGTCGTGTAGTTTTCTTCTGCTTTGTGGTTGGTTTCGGGGGGAAAATTTCCATCAATTAAACTGTTATGATTCTCATTTTCTACGTCCTTCTAATAGTAGGTCTTTATGGAGATAGGTGTTTTTGTTTTTTCTTTTCCTAGCATTTTGTAGACAGAGTTCCTAACTCAAGAATACCCTCTCCTGCCAGTGCAGTGAAGTGAAACACGTTTAGTGAACAGTAAGGAAAGAGGAGTCATCACGTCTTCTCTCTTTCATTTCTGCAAGATCCTCAATTTTCTCCTTAGTTGCTTCTTTCTCTTTGCTGCCAAGTCTCTAAGAGGCACCATCCTTTCTTGGTTTTCCTGCTTCTCCAAGAAGCAATGCTTTCTCGAAGCTGCTGCTTCTGGTCCTGTTGACTTTCAAGCTGCTTCTCTCTAACTGTGCTGTGAATGTGTAACTTGGTCTTGAAAGGTACTCTTTCTCTGGGTGATTTTGTCTATGCTACATCTAATTCTTCCACGCCTCTTTACTCTTTTTCCCGGAGATTTTAAGACTCCTCTCTCCCACACTCTGTACCCAGCTTATAGAGATAAGTGACAGGAGCTCTCTTGGAATTTGGTGTTTATTTCTTTACTTATTGGTAATTTGAAGTTTGTGACATTCTCTGTCTTCTATTAATGCTGAAGACAGGGGTCATGTGTGGTTTCCTTGTGCTCTTGTTGAATTTAAGGGTTGTATGGAGAGATTCAATTTCAGGGGGCTGCACATATCATCCAAACCTGGAAACTCCCTTAGATTAGTGTTTCTCGATCTTTTTGAACCCATTTTCTCTGTTCGTCACACGAACATTGCATACGCTATGAAAATGTTTATAAAATTCAAAATAGATAAAGAACTGAGAACAAATCAAGGCAATGAGAAAAAGTACCATTTTCTCTCTAGACACAAACTTTCCCCTCCCCAGATTCTGATGAGTAAAGATTTCCTCATCCTTTCCTCCAAATCACTGAACTGAATAATTTTCAGAGCCATTGTCTTAGTCAGTTGGGGCTGCAACAACAAACTCCCATAGCCAGGGAGGCTTACAAACAACAGAAATTTACTTCTCACACTTCCGGAGGCTGGAAGTCCAAGATCAAGGCACCAGCAGATTTGGTGACTGGTGAGAACGCGCTTCTGGGTTCAAAGCTGGTCATCTTTTCGCTGTGTCCTCACATGGTGGAAGGGAGGAGGGAGCTCTCTGGGGTCTCTTTCATAAGGGTAGTAATCCCATTCATGAGAGGTCCACCCGGTGACCTGATCACCTCCAAGTCTCCATCTCCTAATGCCATCATATCGGGTGAATAGGCTTCAACACATGAATTTTGGAGAGACACACACATTTCGTCTCAGCAACCATAATGTTGGATCCGGATATTTTGTCACAGTTGTTTTGATGCAGAAACACTTTAATACCTCTGAATTTATCCCTTTTGTAATACCTTTGTCCTCTCTTTTTCTTACTTAACTTTTTACAGTCTGTTCTATCCATTTTAAACAGTATCGGCTCACACTCAATATCCATTGTCAATGATATTATTCATTATATCAACGATATAATCATATGAGAAAGTGAATAACAAATAATGAGAGAGCTGCTCCTTCCCTCTTCCTTCTGCTCTTATTTAGTGGCATTCTTTCCATTTTGCCAGAACGTGTGATGTTTATATACCATTATTTCGATCATGTCCCCATCCTTGTTTTAGTCCTCGCTACACAGTTAAGTATATTGAATTTTCATCATCAATTCTTGTGCTGCAATTTCCCCAGTTGCCTTTTGCTGAATGCAGCTCATCCTGGAAGAGAGTTCTCTAGAGGGGCGTGTGTGTCTGTGGTATTTATTCCCTGCAGAGTCTTCAAGGTGAGTGAAAGGAGGAGCCTCAGAGAAGCGTTGCTTCTGGACGAGAATAAGACACATAGAGAAGCAGTGGTGCCCCTTGTAGACAATGAAGAAAAAGAAGGAGGCAAGAGGGGAAAGTTTGAGAATCTTGATGAAATTAAAGAAATACACTTTTACATTATAATGGCCACCCTATAATGAAAAAATCTGTTTTTATGATCCAATTGTAATTTGAATGTCCGAATGTTTCCCAGCCTGTAGGTACAAATGATGCTATGTTAAAGCACAGACTAGCTGTCCTACACTTGAAAGTCCAACCTGTGCAAGCTCAGGAACTCAACAGCTCATCCTCCTGCCACCACGACCACCCATTTTCAAGGTCTCCTCCACCCCCAGTACCTTAGATTCTCTGCTTTGTGTATCAGTCCACTAAGGACACTTCTTCCATCCCTGGCCTTGGAGCTCCTACTTCCCTGGGCCCGCTGCCGGCTCCGCTCCCTTGCTACTTTTAGCCAAATTCTCATTCCTTGGCTAAGGCTGCCGCACGCTCTACTGATGCAATTCTGCTCCAGAATGTCTGGGAACTCCTACTGGCCACCTGCCTCTGCCCTCTCCAGTGGTTCTCATCATTCTACTTGATCTGCCACCCGGGCTCAGGGCCCTGCCCATCCAACCACTAAGAAACAGCCAGGGAAACGAGAAACCTCCGTTTAATGAGGGTGACAGGGTCCTGAGCTGGCAGCTCGACAGGCCCTCAGCCACTGTCTCCTCAGGTGGTTAGGTGTCTTTATGGGCTCCAGCGATAGCCTTGATCCTACTGAGAATAGCTCCTGCTCCTTTCAGAGTCTTATTGGCTCCAGCTGGTCCCATCCTCAGGCTCAGTTATCTTCCCAGAATCTAGTCTCCCACACCGTCTTCTAGCTCTTTTCCCAGGAGGCTTCTCAGCCCCAGTGTTAATCCATTTGGGCAAATAGATGCCCTGGAAGGGAGCACTCACACACCCGGCACATGTTTTGGTTCTGAGAAAACATCTGCCCTCCCAGCCCCCTTGCCCAGTTCATGAACTAGGATACGTTCTAGGAGAGGGCAGGAATATCTCAAGAAAGCACAAAAGCTGAATGGTTTGTTAGTCCATTTTAGAAGGATGTTGAAACACACCTAATTTCGAAATTAGAGTCGAAATGTCATGCATCCCATGAGTCTGGTGGGAATTCCAGTGCAAACTGGGCTATGACGGAAATTACATTGCTGACCCTGAATGAAGCTAATTAGAAGCATCTCAATAATCAAAAGTTAATTTAATTCCCCCCGGTAGTTTTATGAGGCATTTAAAAAGTTTGTTTGAGTCTATGTTGTTAAAAATAAAAGTAACTACCAGCGGGTTCTGATCCCCTTCAACTTCTACCAGAAAGGAATACAGTATTTTCTTAGGTCCTTCTAAGCCCACTCAATAATAGAATTAACCTTGCCCAATAAAAGATGGCCCAGGATCAAGGGGAAAAAAAGACCTACTAATTTTGGCTCCATAGAACTTGGGGTCACATGTTTGAGCTCTGGGAGCCTCAGTGGCAAATCCTTGAATTAATGTAAGTCTAAGGGGAGGATGGGTAATTTGGAACCAGTGCTCCGTAACACGGGTCTTAGCTATTTTACATATAGATTATATGGTTGATAAAACTGAGCACACACAATGAGCCCCATGCTTTCAGAGCATTATCTTATTTAATTCTTACCACATCCTTGAGGGTAGGATGTTAATACCCCATTTTATACACAAAGAAACCACCTCTCATAGATATTAAGAGATTGTCCAAAGTCATCAGCAAGTAAGAGGGAACTGAACTCAGGTTTATCTCACTTCAAAACCTAACCTTTTCCCACTGCACGATGTTGCCTCCCACACACACTGGAGTGTATTGGATGCAGATTCCATTCTCTGGATATGCTTACCTTGGATTTCTTTACTTCCTTTGGTATTCTTGGCAAAGAATGGTTTCCTTGAGCTGTATGGATGTTCATTTAAATAGTGCTCAGTATCCATTCCCACCTCCTTCTAGAGGGCCTTTCTCTCCTGCGGAAGGTGGAAATCTAGAACCACATTTCTTAGTCTTTCTCAAAGCTTGGCTTCTACCTATGAATTAGGTTCAGTTATATGCACCTGCGTGAGATTAGAAGTCAGAATTGAAGCAGAAGCCACCTTCCCACGGATTTGGTTGTAACCATTGGCAAACGTGATTGTGAGACATTGGGACTTTTTAAAGCCGAGTCTTAATGTTCAGTCACTAATTTAATGGGTGTCAAGAGACAGATAGGGTGGGAGTGACAAGGCCTTCCGGATTCTCGGGTGTCAGCTAAAGCAGCGTGTTCCCACCGTCAATACTTCCAGTGACGGCCTCCTGACTTCCGACCTTCTTGCTGGCGGCAGAGGCAGAAGGAACCTCCAGCCTTCCCGACAATGTTGTAAACACCTGCTTCTCTCTATTCGATGCCTTTCTGCTTAAAATAACTCGTGTGGTTTCTGTTTCCTGCGACTGAACCCTGCTGATACACAGTTTTCCCTCTTTCCCACTAACTGCTGGTCTTTGCAACTGCCAACCCTTCAAGTGGTGTTTTCAGCTCTAAAATGAAAGCTTTGAATATCTCCATTGCTCCCTATCTCCCTTATCCGGTTTTATTGTTCTCCATAGTGTTTATTGTCACTCCAAGATTCCTTATTGGCCCAATGTCCACCTCTCCTAGAATTTAAGCTCCATTGGAATAAGGGCTTTGTTTTGTTCACTTCTGTATGGCTCTGTGACACTTAGAACAGTACCAGCAAACAGTGGGAACTGAATAGATAGTGTCGAATGGATGAATCTACTTTTCCTAACAGAAACTAATACTGTATTAATGCATTAGTAATAGATTCATCAATAAATACCCTCAATAATGCCTCCTCATGAAGCTTTGACCCAGGTTTAGAAAATCCCCAAAGAACACAAAATGGCACACATTGCCTGGACCGAGGCCTTAAATTTAGGGTGACCAACTCCTCCCCGTGTGTCTGAGACTTTCCTAGTTTTAGCACTCAAGACCCACATCCTGGGAAAGCCTTCAGTCCTGGGCAAACCAAGATGATCGGTTACCCTGATTAAATTCATGAGGTGCTAAATAAAGGCATTTGAATTATATTACTTTAAATCACTCTTGCAAATAAAAGTTTGCAAACACGAATCTTTTAAACCATCCTGCAGTTTCCTTCCCATGTCACAGCCATGCTGCAAATGATCCCTGAAGCCATCAGGTGAAATTTGAGCAATATTTCAAACTGTATTTTACGTTTTTACTAAAGTTCCTTTTCTGCCTATACCTTGAACATGTTAGGGTTCAGCCTGTGAAATCTCTTCTGTATTTCCTAGTTACGTTAAAAATACGATACAGGAACTTCCTAGAGAAAAGATGCTACAGCATCTATAGTTAGATCCTAGATCCTGCAGAGAAGGCGACAGAAGTCTAAGATTCTAATTTCGTTGGGAGACAGAAGAGTAAACTGCGGAGATCTATCAGTGTTAACGCTAAGAGCGAATAAAGACTTAGCCTTCACCAACCACAAGACTCACCCTTCTAGCTGCTAACATTGTTCTGAAGCTTCAGACAGCGAGTTCAAGCATAACTTGCATATTCGAAGTGTCAACGCCTTTGAACTGGTGCATTAGAGAGAATTTGGAGAATAGCAACATTCTCAGATCTAACCCAAGTTCCCGGCAGTTGGAACCTCTTGGGGATTCTTGCTCCCTGATGATTCATGTGGATGGACGTTTAGGTGTTTAGATTTTAAAATGTTCTTCTCAACCGAAACTGAAACTTAAAGAGATGCTATCACCCTGGAATTATTTTTGCACCTGCGAAAACAGTTGTGTTACTAAAATCAACTGTTTTCGCACCACGGGCTGTTGCATGTGACGGTGGTGTTTCGCCAGCCACGTGCGTAAGGGGTTAAGCGAGCGGCAGTTGCGCAATCCCAGCACAATACATTCCACAGAGCCAGCAATCTCGGTTTGAACATGTTTATAAATCAGATACAGAGAAACTGACCAAACCTCCAAAGGGCAGCTTGTTTGGAGGAACAGAAGTGCACGTGCTGCTTTTCTTCTTAAGAAATTGGTCAAAGGACTCCAGAAAATGCTCTTTTCAGACTGTGTGAACTCTGAAATGTCCCACGTCTTGATCCCTCCACAGCATGACTTAAGTTCTTGGACAGACTTCACATTTTTACTAAAACTGGCTATTAGGCCTGGCCACTTCCTTCCTTCAGGCACTATTTTCAGAAGCAGAGACACGGAGCCCCTGCACCTGTTGTTAGTGTGGCCACAGACGGAAACCTCTGCAAAACCCTCATCTGTCTGCACAGTAGGTCCAGCGACGCCCAAGTGGAGGCAAGGGACGGTATGAGTGTCCAGAGGGGCTGGTCAGGGAGCACAGGCGAGGCAGCCTCAGGAGAGAACATCTCACCCACTATCTTGTGTCTCCTGACCCGATTCGCACAACCTGGGCACTCCTCTCCAGGTCTATGACTGGCCACGTTCCTAAGGGGCGCAGCCAAGGGGCCCAGCCCTGTTCTTTTGACACAGGTCTGGTGGATCCCAGGGGAGGAGGAGGAGATCCTGGAGGTGACCGCCTAATATGTAGCTGACCTCATCCCACACATTGAGACGCACAGGTGACTGAGACACAGCCTCGAGAAGCTTACAGTCCTGTGGACTGCGATTCCATGGGGAAGGGGCTACTGCAGCCTGGAAACAGATGGAGAGGTGGCTCCCAGCCCCCTTGGCTGGTCAGGTTCAGGTCCGGCTGGCTCTGATCCTCCTGGCCGTGTTTATGCCACAGGATGAAATTTCAGGATGAAGTGGCTGCGCAGCACCAGGTACAAACCAGCATCTAACTCCCTTCTCTTTCCAAACCAAAAACTGGTCCTGAGACACTGGATAGCTGACACTGCAGGCCAGCGACCTCTCTTGGCTCGCTGTTTGCCACTCTCTTCCTAGCATGCTGTTTGTCTTTCTTCAGTAGAAATTTGGCAGAATCATGGAGTTCTTATTTTCACCTCTTATCTGGGTCTGTTTGTCCATAGCTAGAATAACAGGGGGCTTTTAAAACCTAATGAATTCAACGGTCAAAGAATGGCCTCAGGCAAATGGAATGTCTGATGTTCCATCTCTCTGGCTGAGGGCAGGAGGCCATTTGGGGCTTAACATCTTTTTCATTCACATGCAAAACACTTCCAAAAGCACGAGTTTGAAAACTTAGAATTTGAAACCAAATCACTAATCTTCCTCATTCTTAACATTTTTAGCTCAGCAGTGGTTACTTGATAGCTTAATACACGTTAGATTTTGGGGGGAAAAGGATACTATTTTGGGCTTTTGATGTCCAACGGATTTGTGTGTATTTCTTATCCATGTATTATTTCTTCTTCTCTGTAAATATATTTAAATAGACTAAACACCTCCTTTGGCAGTTACTTCATCAAAACTTGGAAAAAACGCTCTGGTTGAGCATGGATTTATTTAGAGACTTGCAAAGGTGTTCTGGGTTCCCTCAACCTGACTGGGCAGAAGTCCCTGTCACTGGATTCACAGCTCACAGCTGTATAACGCTCCTGGTTTTCAAGGGAGTGATCCAGATGCTGGCTGCAAAGAATGAAGAGAATTGTTCCAAAGGTTGTTCCACTGAACTTGCTACTTAAATACACACACACACAACCAAGCCCATCGTAAAAGCATATCAGCTCACACAGATGCCAGCCGAATGAAACACGTGTTCCTAGCACTTCCTCTAACTGACAGCAAGGTCTGAGGCTTGAGTCCACGAGATGCCCCATCTCATGGGTTTTTCTTCCTCATGTCAACGCCAGTCATTGTGTAACCAGCTTGTTTTCCTATACCACTGGCAAGTAATACTTAGAAACAATATAGCCTTTCTCAGAAATAATTTAAACATGATTCTGTTTTTCTTGGCCTTTTGACAATGGATGATTATCTTTAGTACTTCTATCGGGCATTTCCAAATCCCGAATTTTCTTTCACCCGGTAAGATCTGTAAGTCTGGTTACAACCACAGAAGTGAAGGAAGCAAGTGGGGATGGTGCCTGGGACCCGTAGGCCACTGAAAGGGGCAAGAGGCGAGCTGGCTGCCCCATCTGTGTTCCGAAGAGGGAAGGGAGACAGAGCAGGATCCCCAGGCCATGTGACCCAGGGCCACTTGCTGTGACTGTCTTTTTAATTTATTTTAAAACACAATGACTAAATGTGGTGTATTGGTTTGATATTATTTCAAACCCACCTGTTTGACTCAAGCGAAGTTGCTTTAATCCACTTGTTTATGACAAAGACAAATAAATGAGGTTGCAGTAAAGCTGTTTTGATACACGAATGAAGCAAGTCGAATCGAGATGTCATCATCTCCTCTGTTGTCATTGATTAAAATTCAGCAGCTCAGCTGACGATGAACATGAGGAACCCTACTGGGGGCTGATCACTAAGAACATGCGGAAAAGCCAGTATGGCAAGGGGACATTTAGACTAAAAATATCCAGAGTGTGTAAGAATTATTCAAGTTGTGGTCTGGGCAAGACGACGCTTTGCTGGTCTAAATAAATCCTATGAAGACCTGGAGGCATTAGCTCCTACCATGGTAAGGGCACACTCTTATTGGTAGTGGCCACAAACCACACAGCGGCCCCATGAAGGAGACCAGCCTGCCTGCCAACACTGGCACCGTCGTTTCCTAGCAACGTGCTCTAGCAACAGAGGACTTTTATTTTGCACTGGCAGCTGGAGGTCAGCTCTTGCTTGGTTTAGCCATCGCCTACTTGTCCGAAAAAGTACACCTCGATTAAATTTGGACTTTATTCCTTTTATCTCCCCTTGCCTGGAACAACAGTGTGACTAACCTCTTATTGCTCTGGAGTATGTTCTTTCTTTACTGGCTTATTATGAGACATTATCCTGTGTGCTATTGGCTTGTGAAACTATTATAAATCCCACAGTGAACCTGCGTTAAATAACATATTGGCAGGGACAGTCTCAGTCTTTGAGCTTAAATTCGCCCACCCCAAACAAAACATCACATAAAAGGATTTAGATATAGGTCACGAAGTACTGGACTCGTTTATTTAGGACCTGGGAGAAGGGTAGGTCCAGTTAAAAAACAAAATTTAACCGAGTAAATTTGAAGATCTAATCGGCTTTATTAAATGGTTCACCAATTGGGCAGCCTCTCATCTAGTAAGTAGAAGGGGCTCTGAGGTGTCATACAGAATGCAAGGTTTTTATAGGAAGAGGGGTGGGGAAAGGGAGCTATTAGCAAAAGACAGGATTAGTTTTAGGCCAGGCTGTCTCCTCTTGGGGGAAGGGACTGGCAGGGGGCCTTACCACCAGATTGCCTCTTCTTCTAGGGCTTGGAGAGGGCCCACCTGACGGATTACCTTACTGTTTCTAGACCAGAAAATTCCACACTGGTTGATGAAGATTATATTTCCGGGAGGGGCTGAAACTGCAATTACATCAGGAATCAAATCTAGGTTTGGTAGCACGGGCTTTAGCACGAGTGACGCCATTTTGGGCCTGTGGTTTTCTTTTTAACAGTCTTAACCCAAGAGCATGGTGCTAAGGAAGCCGGGAGCATCTCTTTCCTCCTCGTCACTCCTCTTTTCACTGAGAAAGTGGGCCTTTCCCTTGAAACTGAGGTAAACACATGGTCAGCAAAGAGCTCCCTACAGAGACAGTCGACCATCAATACTGGCATTTCAATGACGACACATCAACCAGTAAAATGCTTGGTTAATTTTTGCTCAGGGCTGGATAATTTTATGACCACTAATTATCTGTGCAGCCACACATGGAGAGAAGCATAAAAATAGCCCTTTGTCCTTCCTTTGAAGGAAGCTCTTTAAATATTAACTTGGCCATCTCCTCCACAATCCCCCAGAGGTAGGAGGTACGCAGCTGAGTCTTGGTATCCTGATTTTACAGACATCATGGAAGATGGAGAGGTGAGTGCAGTGGGCTTCCCCAACATCACGGAAATACCTTGAAATATTAATTGGGTGAAGGAGTCTGGAGTTCTAGAATTCACATTTCTCACTTGCAAAGACGTGCCCTAAGTTCTGAGGGCAGGTTCTATGTCTAAGGCCCCAGGTCCTCAAAGGACAACTGTCATAGAGTAGAAACCCAACAAATATTTCCTGTTATTGACAATGTCTTATCCATGGGCCCGGTACGTGACATAAACACAAAATTTTAGTCATCCATATAGGCTACGGATGAGAACAGGAGAAGCACAGAGATGGGTGGCATTTGGTCAGAGTAGAGAAAGAGAACAGGGAAGTGAGTAAAAAGACTCCCCCCAGTGTCACACCAGACTTGGGCTTAACTTTTGCCCTTGACTCTGACTACCTGTGTGACCTTGAGTAAAGGTATTTTCATTTTAAGTCTCTGTTTCCTCCATGTGAAGTGGCGACAGCTCCATCCCGTGCACACCTGGATGCCTGAAGAAGGGAACTCACGTGAGACACTCAGCAGCGCTCCTGGTTCAAGGTGAACACTCAGGAGAGGAAGCCATTCGCATCCTCACAGAAGGAACCCTCTGGGGTTTCTTGCGGTCAACAAGGGAAAACGTTTCGGTCCCCAAGAAGAAACGCTACTTTGTCAGTCCTGTCTGGTGTTCTAAAGCAGACACACACAAAGCCAGGCATGGCGCCCATTAAAAATTTAACTATATATCATATTCATTTATTATCAATCCACAGGATAATTTGATTGCTACATGAGCTCATAAAAGCTTTTCCACCTTTACAAAATTAAAAAAAAAAAAAATGTGCCACAAGGATGTAATAATAACTGCTGAGAAACAAGAAAAGGAATCTTCAAATTATAAATTTGCTGTAGAAAAGATAAAAAACAATTATATTTTCTTTAGAATTTTACCTTGAATAAAATACTCCCCTGTATAAAAAATAAAAAAGCTTGCTCTGGTTAGAATTAGAGTGTTTTCGTCTTCAAATCTGGGAATTTGCATAATATCTCCATGATAGTTTTCCTTTGTACCGCGTGGCATTCAAGCATAGCAGATTAGAAAGATTTTCTTTTTCTTTTTGTGTTGTTAAAGCAGTCTTAAAATGGGACATCTGGGGAGAAGTTCATTTTCTTCTTCTCCTCCTCAGGGATGTGGAACACAGCCTTTGAGGGGAGGAAAAGGAGGAAAGGAACTGGGTGGGAAGGGACGGGATGGGAGGCGAGAGGGGACATGAAAGGGATGCTGAATGTGCTGTGCTATCAAATAGAGCAAGATCAGAGAAGGTCTATCTGTAAGTGCTTTAAGATAAGGTGCAGAAGCAGACTGCAGCGTCGCTCGTACTGCCCTATGTACATATTCACAAGAATAAAAAATTCCAGCTAGTTCACATTTTCTCATCCATTCTGAGGCACCCACTCCACCATGCTGGCCTTGACCGCAGGCAATGCAGCACCTCACTGCCCATGCGGCTGTTGGTCCTATGACGTCCTTGAAGTTGAGGGAGCAGCCCTGGGAGGTCCAGCAGGCTCTAGAGATACACGTCTACCAAGGGGCTGGAGTCCTGAGTTAAAAAGAAGCTCCAGTACTGGAGTTGGACACAGCAATCAATGTTCTATTGTCAAGGCTTTTTCCCTTAGATTTGTCTAAAATAGGTGTCAGAGAGAAAAATAAAATACAAACAAACAACAAACAAAGCCAAGAACTCCCAACAACCACCAGGGGAAGTCAAAAGCCTAACAGCTCTTGACGCGGGCCTGGGTGATATCGGACGTTTTCTTGATGACGCTGGCCCGAGTCTCCCGGTCGGGCCGACTGCTGCTGGACGCTGGGGTCACGGAGGGAGTGAGGGGCAGGTCTGGGAAAGGGGGCCAGGAGCTGTTGAAAGGCACCGGACAGCTCTCCTCTTTGATGGTGACCTGGAGATCCGGCTTGTTGGAAGTCACGAAGGTCGCCATGCTGGGCAGCAGGTAGGTGCTTCTGGTGCCCATGTTGCTGAGGTACTGTTTGCCTTCAATGTTCCTCTTCCTCCAGTGTGGGCGTCCCTTTCAAAGAAAAGAATTCAGATATGTATTTTCTTTGCCTTCTGTAGAACAGCTTTTTAAAAAAATTTTTTAAAAAATGCACCACAGTTCCCACATGTTGGTGTTTCAACTGAATTTCTTAAGAGTCATGGGATGAGCAGAAGCTTGGCACCTCTACATCCCTCAACTGAAATCCAGACCCCAAGCTGTTCATGCCCCAAGCAATGGTTTCTCTTCCCTTTTTATCAATTCCCATTTGCTACCTCCCAGAAATACAGGCAAGACTGTTCTAAGAAGGCAGGAAAACAAGGCAGCAACTTGGTTTCTAGTTCCCCTCCACTCCGGCTGCCCAGTCTGAGCATTAGGTGGGTTTCAGGCCATGAGGTCTGGTTTATCATGGTGACTTGGTTCCTCACTGATGGCCCAATCTGATCTTAGAGTCAACCTGCATTTTCAGAGGGAGGGAGGTGAGAGACTCAGTAACAGACAGGGGACGCCCCTTGAGGGCTTTCAAACGGGTGCAGCTTCGAGCTCCAGTGTGCCAGGCAAACAGCTGGCCTCCAGGCTGGCTTCATTCAGAGAAGGAGCTGGAATTCTGACCTTGAAGAAACAGGGTTGAAATGTATGGAAGCATCTCTATCTACTGTCCTTTCAGAATTCCTGGACTATACTTTAAGGATTTAGTGTACTAGGAAATCACTAATTCAAACAACCATTAGTCAGTCAGCCATTCTTTCTCTCTCTCTCTCTCACTCAAAGACAGACACAAAGCAGGCGGTTAGCAGGAATGCTATCCATCACCATTACAGCTCTTTCCTGCCATTGTGGGAGCCCAGCCCAGAGGAGGGAAATCGGAGCAGGCCACTCAGAATCAAAACTGAACACCCGCCTGGCCTCTGGGCACGGAGCACAGAGGGCAGGGACTGCAGGTGTACATGGAGATCTATTTACTTCGCGCTGTCTGACATTTACTTCTGGTCATTGCTCTTGGACACTTGGACACTCTATTTCTGCTTGTGAAGTAGGATGTTTATCGTGGTAAGAATATCAACGTTTCCTGTCCTTACTTCAGTTTCCTTTTCCTGCCGTCACAAGCTCTCTTTCTATGGTAACATCTTTCTTTCCTCCCATTCAGTTCCCAAAGCTCCATTTTATAATTCGAAATCCAAAAGCATCATAAATTTTATGTTACGTATATTTTAGCACACTCACACACAAGAAGTCCAAAAGTACAAATGGCTTTCAAAAGAAAAGAAATGTACCTAGCAGCAAGGAGACCCCCGTCCCCAGCACACCCTTCAGGGGGTGGGGGCGGGGAGCCACGCTTACCTCCGTGCTCTCTTCATCACTGGGCACACTATCGGTAGTTTCACTTTCTGTTCACAGAGAGAAAAACACAAGGCCATCATTCCTGCCACTCAAACAGTTTTGAGGCTCAGGCAGTGTTTAAAAAATACATCAGCACTTCGTTTTTCAAAAGAGAAATGGGTAACTAAACTCATAATTCCGTCCCCTCTGTAACGTCAAACACTTGCACTTGGAAGATGCTAGAGGGAATTCGGTTTCTCTAATTTGGGCCCTTCAGAGGAAGCATTCAGAGTTGAGGGGGAGCTCACTTTCCAAGGCCAGGCTAAGTTTCTTCACGGCCACTACTTCCCAGTATGGGTGTGGGCCCGCCCCCCCTGCCGGTGCCAATCCGCTTTCCGCTTCCCATGTCCTCAGCTCACATGAAGCCCCTTCATCACTGCTGCTCTATCCACAACGCCCCACACTGGTCTTCTCTTCCAATCCATGAGCATTAGTTCATTTAAGTCCCAACTCAGAGCCTTCCTAGGTCACCCTAAGTCTGCTCAGATGCCTCCTTCACCTCATGTCTCTGTAGTAATTATACATCTTGAATTTATAACGTTGCGTCTTCCACTTGGGTTACTGTGGGTGGACAGGTTTTAGGGCGGCTCCCATGATCCTCATCTCCTAGAGTTTCCTTTCCTGTGGGACTCCCTCCTGTGGAGTGCGCGTGGGGCCTGTGACTTACTTCGAATCCACAGAACACAGTGAAGGTGATGAGATGTGTGTGATCACATCTTATGCAGGGACCCATCTTATGAAGAGACTCTCCCTTGCTGGCTTTGAGGAAGCAGGAGCCAAGCTGGGAAGACTCGCCTGACAAAGAACTAAGGGCTCCTTCCAGCCAACAGCCAGCAAGAGACCAAAGCCCTCAGTTTGACAACGTGCAAGGATCTACACTCTGCTGCAAACCACGCGAGCTTCGAAGCAGAGCCTCCCCATTAGATCCTCCGATGAGGCCGCAGTCCTGGAGAGCACCTTGCCTGCAGGTCTGTGCAGGGAACCCCCGAGCAGAGGACCCACCTAGGCCAGGCCTGCACTCCTGACCCTCAGAAACTGTGGGACAAGTGTGTGTTGTTTAAGGCACTAAGGTTGGGGTAGATAACTCATTTGGCGACTACGCTGATTCAGCCTGCTGGCTGTAAGGCACGGAGCAAGGCACTAACTTCACGCACTGAGCTGCAGTGTCCTCATCTGTACAAGGGGAGGATGAACACCTTCCACAGAGGATTGCTGACGAGTGAGAGTGAGGGTGTGTGGGGAAAGGCCGAGCAAGGGCCCGGCACACAGCTCTCACTCTGTAAACGCTGGTGTGCCTCTGTCCTGAGCTCAGCAGCCTTGTTCAACCCTGGATTTGCACGACATGCTAGATTAACAGAGTCCAGAGTCAATAGCTAATGGTTACACATCATCTGAACATATAATACAAGATTTTCTTAAGCGAAAAAATTTTTGTTTTTTTTTAAGTAAAAAAATTTTTGATTTTTTTAAATAAGAAATCGGTGATGTGCAGTGTTTCAATGTTCACAGCACCGAGAAATGAAAGCACAGAGGGCAGAATTCCTAAAATACACAGACCCTTAGAAATCCCTGAGTCTGGGGCATTCATTTTACAGACAAGGCCGAAAGAGGAACCGTAATGGTGAACACTTACAGAGGGCTGGCGCCAGGGCCAGGCTGGCGTCTCTGCATGCATGCCTTGTTTAGCCCTCACGAGGACCCTAAGTTGGGAAACAGCTCGCAGCAGGCAGCTCGTGTGCTCTACTGCCTTCTACCTGCTTCCATCCTGAGCCTGCTGAGGGACTGGCTCCCAGTCTCACGTCTTGCTGGTGGCCCTGCTCAGACCAAATGGCTCCCAGCCCAGATAGGGCCCTTTCCACCACCCAGAGCACTAACCACAGACCAGGCTCTCTATGAATTAAAGGCCAAAGAACAAACAGACAAACCAAGCCACAGGTTCATTCCTCAAGCAAAGAAGGTGAGAACGTTGGCCACACTGGGCCCACCCTGTGGCCTTTCTGCACATTTCTTGGCCACTGTTCTCCAGTGACTTTTCCCGGGCGCTGAGTGATGGCCGAGGGCTGACCACGAGCATCTGGAGGATGTGCCTCTCCTCTCCTGAGAACGAGCAGACTCCCCCAAAGCACCCCTGACTGGGAGCAAGAGGGGCCCAGAGAAGCCCCCTAGCCACCGAGACAAGCCGGCAATGCCAGGCACAAGAAAAGTTTCTACACAAAAACAAATTACAAACAGCAGAAAAGGAAAATTCCCCTCTTCACATTACCCTCAGGCTAGCCCAGTATCCAGGGAAGGCAGGAATCGGTATAGCCACTCCCAAGAAAAATGAGGAACAGAGACGTTGAGAAACCTGCCAAAGTTGTGGACTGAGTCAGCAAAGAGCAGAGAAAACAAAACTGCACTTCTGGCTCCAGGCTGTGCCCTGAACGCAGCGTCTGCTTGCCGAGGCACTCCACTGCTCAGCCTCTGATGAAATTTCAAGATCCCCTTTCCATTTTTATGCTTAGCTTTCTTTGTGCTCCAACGCCAAGGTTTCTCTCTTCCTTCATATACGTCTAGGCCCCCTCCACTCCTAATTACCCTGCATAAACGCCACCATCTTCTGTTCCTTTCCCCTTCAAAGAAAAACCAGGCAGGCTTTGGGAGCTGGAACTATGCAGAAATGAGCAGTGGACACCAAGGTTCTGGGATTCCACCGCAGTCCAAGCCCAGAGCGGGAGAAGTTGGAAGGCGGACCTGGGTATGACTCCTTGGTAAGAGCTTGCACAGACCATGAGCATGATCGCAATGCTAACCGCCTTTAAGTACCCAGTTTTCAACCTCAGGGAAATAGTCTGAGACAAGAAAAGACACACATGTTCTGAACTTATGTTTTCAGCTGACACAAATGCTAGTTGAGAGCATCATTTCTAAATTAAGATCAACTGCTTCTGAAGCAGTTATGAAGACTCTCCATATTAGCAAACTGAGATTTCTAATTTTTGTTGTTTAAAGAATGGCCTTGAGTGCCGTCGGCCTGGGAGCAGATGCTTGAGGACCCAAGACCCTTCTCCCAGAGTAACAGTGGTTCTCACGGGCACCCCTGAATCGCTGGCTCCAAGTGCTCGTTGGGTGTACTCATGCCCATTTTCCTCTGTTTCCTTGGTTTTACTTCACCATTGCCATTTTCAAGATCACTTCTTATACACAAATGAGTTCAGTGCAGCTGCTGCTTCCAGATCCATGTTACTGCTGAAATACCAACATAAGTTGTTATTTCATTTCCCCTTTTGGATTGGTTTGGATTTGTTTTTTTATTTACTTTGAATACAATGGAATAAAAAAATTTGAAGTTGTTTCACTAACACGCATGGTCTGAATAAGTTCAAAGTGTTTACAGAGTAATAACAGGGACTTGAGTAGCTCATTTCATCTTTCTGGTCTCAGTTTCCCCAAAAGTAACGGGGTTGACAGGGAAGGGGAGGTATGGATTAGATGATCCCAAAGATGCTTCCTCCAGAGCTGCAGTTCTAGAAGGATGCTTGTCTTAGGTCCACACTCCAGCTCAGTTTTTATTGTCAAACGATCTCAGGGACGTTGTAGGGAGGGACACCCTATCTTCTATGTGAAAGCTTTCTTGCACTCTGATCCTGGTACATTTTCTGGAAGGCTCTTGTTTGACAAGTTTGATTAATAAGATTGGCAAGGATTTCTTTCCTTTCGTCATTTCCTCAATTACTTTCACTAGAAGGTTCTATTAAAAGGTTCAAATCAAGAGTCCTCTTAATCTCAAAGCACTCTTATCTTTGCCCTACCCAACAAAAGGCAAGCATGCTTTGGTTTCCACAAAGACCCAAAGTCTTTACTGTTGGCTGCTGGTCAGTAGGCAATCTCCATTCTCTCATTCACAACCAATTAATCCTTTACATCATGCTCTCTTCTCCAGCTATTCTCCCTTCTCTCATCCAGCCTCCCCCAATATACTAGTGTGGCTTTCTTTTACTAAACCATCAACAACCTAATAAAATCCTAGTGCCACACACCAGACACGAAGCCACTTTATGGGAGACGTTTAAGAGGAAAATGACTCTCCTCTAGAGTTTCCCAAGGTTGGGCTCCCAAGGATGAAAGTTTTACGAATCCGACTAGAAAGTGATGTCGTCTTAAAACATCCAATGCAAGTACTTCCACTCAAAGAAACTGTCTCTTTTCTTGTTCACCATATTTAGCCCATAGAGAAAGCCGACTTGCAAAACTGAACGTGGTTTTGTAATCCGACTGGGATTATATTTCAACGATCAGTAGGGGAAAAAAATAGCAAACAGCAGCCTCCAAAGACCAGTTTCCAAAACAAGTGAATGAAACGATTAGAGGAGGTTGAAATTCAGTTCAATAGTCCAAACAAAGGAAGCCTGTGATGAAAAACAGGCAAACAGGCTCTTCTACTGGGGAACAAAAAGTTAGAATGGGGAAGACAACCAAAAAGCTGCCTTTCTTAGCAGCAGGCGATAAAATTCCTGACTAAAATTAGACTTAAGCTAGCCATGGTCAGTAACCGATGAATTTATGTGTCTGTAAGCTCTAGAAAAGTAGCAGTGGGAAATATTTTGGCTCCCTCCAAAAGGTTCTGGAGAATTCAGACAATGAAAACAAGGGAAAGAACTAAAGGGGAGGCTGAAAAGCCAGGCTCTAACAAACCCCCCCACTGCCTGCCAGCCTGGCCCTAAAATCCTTCCTTTCAAATCTATGCAAATGTCCTGGAAAGGGTAATGAAATTTTCATTTCTCTCTGCATGGATCAGCTGTTCTCGGCATTCTTCTGCTAAAGCAAAATGCCACTGCTGGCAGAACAGCACGAAGAGGTCTTTCCAGAATTCCCCAGAAGACTTCGGAAAGTCTTACTCAACAGATAAACAGATAAAACTCTATTCTAAAGTTCCAATCCCTTAAAAAAAAAACCCCACATGGGATGTCACAATGCCTGCAGCAGCATGATATAGAAGAAAGTCATATATTTTTAGCCATAGCTATGTAAATATAAGTAGCTTAATGTTTCAAGCCTTAGTTATCTCAACTGTAAAATCAAAGCATAAACATTCTGCTCTGCCTCCTTTGGTGGGTCCTTGAGATCACGAGATGTGGCTGTGTTCTGAACAGCAGAGCCCCAGGCCGTTGCACAGGACAGTGGGTTCTAACTGTGCTACCAGTTGCCCATCCCTAGACACACTACTTTACCCTCATTGCCTTACATCCCTAGAGTTTAAAGAGGTAATAATGATACCCAGGCTGACAACGTTATTCTCATGATAATTAAATATAAGTCCATCGCTTCCAAGCATTGAGCACAGTTCCCAGGGCACAAACACATGCAACAAAGAGTCGTTATTATTACTGGGGATTGGCCAAGGCTCAAGAGAGACTGGCACACATAGGACTTCAAAATATGTTTGATGAATAAATAACTGACAAGAAGCTTATCCTGTTTGACAGATCATAAGCTCCTTGGAGTCAAGGTTTGTTCTCACATTCCTTTTATGTTCCCGGCACAAAAGAAAGTTAGGACCTTGAGGACATGATGCGAAGTGAAATAAGTCAGTCACAAAAGGACGATACTGTAGGACTATTCCACGTGTACAAGGTCCCTAGAGTAGCCAGATTCATAGAGACAGAAAGTAGAATGGGGGTTGCGAGGGGCTGGTGGGGGAGGATGGGGAGTTAGTGTTTAATGGGCACAGAGTTTCAGTTTTGCAAGATGGAAAAGTTCTGGAGACGGATGGCGGTGATGGCTGCACAACAGCGTTAAGGCACTTAATGCCGCAGAAATGTACGCTTAAAAATGGCTAAAATGGTAAATGTAATGTTATACAACTTTTACCACAATTTAAAAAAATAAGTTAAAAAAAAGGAAGTTGGAGTTCAGGAAACACGAGGTTAGTGTAGTGACTGATAATTCACAAACAACCTGGCATTTGAATCAACGTAATTCTAATGCTGATTCTGGGCCAGTCTCTGGGGTGGCACCTTAAATGAAGGACATTCTATTTGGCAGCACATAAAGGACATTGGGGGGAATTCTTGAACCATTTATTCGAGCTGACTCACGATAGGGCCTCTGCTTTTTGTTTTTAATATTTGCAAGCAATGACATTGATTCAGAATTCATATTTCATAATTATGATTATATCCCCCCAAATTAAGTGGAGTTCATCAGGAAGAGAGTATAAGATGATGTAACGTTGGCAGGAAAAAGGAGCTATCACCTTATTCTGTAAGGATGGAAGAACCAACGGACTCTGGTTCTAATCTTGTGACTGTCTGGGCCAATTCCTGCAATTATGTGGCCATTTCCTTGGGAATCAGAAATGGGCTCAGTCGCCTGGTCCAATCAGAAGCTGTACTAAATGAAAAAAGAAGGGGGAACTATGCGGGAGTGAGAAGTGAACTTGGTGGGATGAAATGGGGCTTGAGGTCTGAAGCTTTAGTTCAAGTCTTGGTCTAAACACTGTGCGACCTTGAGCAAGATCCCTCAGTTCCAAAATTGAAAGAACTTGAAGAGATGATCCCTAAGGCCCTCCCCAGCTTGGTCAAACTGAGATGCCAGTAAAAATACTCTTCCGAATTTCTGATAATGTGTGCAAATAAAATAGACTCAGATGAACTACTTCCCCCAAGAAATCTTATTATTTGTAGGTCATGTATGAAAATGTTACGGGTCATCAAGTAAAGAAATACTGTGACCTTGGCTTCTAACTGAGAACAAGAAGATGTTGGTTGAGAAAATTAAAGGCAAGAATAATTCTAGCAGGAATAATTCTTGGGACAGAGGAGAAGGTCTCTGCTGTGTGGTGAAACGGGTGACCCCAGACTAAAGGACAGCCTCCTTTGTCTCCTGCTCAGCTCCAGAATTTCCCTCCTGCCCCTGTACCTGCGTAGGAAGACACGGGGGAAATCTGCAGAGGGTAGAGCTCACTCATGCTGACCGGCTGCTCATCACTCTCTGTGGTCACCTCCACAACTTGGCAAATGTCTGGCGGATTAGTGACAATCTCTTGATCCTCGATGTTGCTGTCCAGATGGGACTGTCCTACAACTTCAAAGAAGAGAGATCCATCATGCACCAACGTCACTTGACTTCACAATTCTAACACACACTCTCAAGAAGGAAGACCTTCCCCAAAATTGCCAAATAGCCAGGAGTGAACTCCTGGTCACCAAATGTCGGCGCCATGGGAGAAGAACAAGCCTTAGCTTCGGGTGAATGTCTCCAGAGAAGCAGCCTGCCAAAAACCTGGCTTCCAGGGCTATTTCCAGCATGCCTGCCAATGGTGGTTACAATGTCCCAAACCGAAGCCAGTGACAGCCAAGGCTGCAGGACCAGAGGCTGCATCCAGATCTAGCCCCAGGGCCAGAGAAACAGACAATGCTTTGAACCTGACCCATTTCTGTTCTCTGCTCTTGCTCTGAAAGAAGCTGATGTGTTATTTTCTGGGTTCCTGGGGTCCAGAGAGACATTATCAGATCTTAATAAGGAGGAAGGACCCCCAAAATCCACCCCATTGTGTCATTTCTAGCTGTGGGGTGCTCTGTTCATTCTCCCAGTCTCTGCAGGCAACATGACCACTGGATGAAATATCAGAACAATGGAATAGAATGGTATCCCAATTCTAACACACACTAGTGGCATCAACTCCCCAGGACGCTGACAAGATGAATTCTGACCACCTTGGCTCTGAATCCTGCCTTTTAGTTTTAGATCATTGTAGATTCACCTACAGTTTAAGAAATAATACAGAGACCCTGTGTGCCCCTTATCCAAGTTTCCTCCGATGGTAACACCTTGCAAACTATCGTACAATATCAGGATATTGATGCTGATAACAATCTACGCAGCTTGTTCAGATTGCCTCAGTTTTACTTGTACTCCTTTGTGTGTGTGTGTGTATTTAGTTCTATGCAACTTTATGACATATGTAGTTTCACATACCTGCCACCCCAGTCAAAATACTGAACTGATGGTCATCACAAGCACCTTCTATGCTACTCTTTTGTAACCATATTCACCTTCCTTCAGCTTCCTCCCCCGGTCTCTCACCCCTGACATCCACTGATCTGTTCCCGATTTCTATAATTTTTGTCATTTCAAGGATGTTTCATAAATGGACTCACACAGTAACTTTCTGAGATTGGCTTTTTTCCACTCAGCATAATTCCCTGGAGAGTCATCCAAGTTGTCGTGTATTTCAATAGTTGGTTCCTTTTCCTTTCTGAGTAATGTCTCATGTTATGGACGTATCACAGTCTGTTTTAACTATTCACCCATTGAAGGACTTCTGGGTTGTTTCCATTCTTTGGCTATTACAAATAAGGCCGCTATGAACATTCATGGACAGGTTTTATATGAACATAGTTTCCACTTCTCTGGAATAAATACCCAAGAATGCAATTGCTGGATCATATGATAACTGTATGTTTAGTTTTACAAGAAACTGCCAAACTATTGTCCAGAGTGGCTATATCACCTTATAGTCCCACCAGCAATGTATGAATGATTTAATCTATGCACATTTTCACTAGCTTTTGGTGTTGTCACTATTTTTTTACTCTAGCCACTCTGGTAGGTGTGTAGCAATATCTCATTGTGGTTTTAATTTGAATGCCCCTAATGCCCTGTCCAACCTTTAAACAGAGCTGACCTTACACTTCTGTTGGCAATTGATTGGGTGGAATATCCCTGAAAATTGGCACCAATAAAAATAGGAATAACGGTGCTTTCCCACGGGCCTCAAGGCACTTTGCCATCATAATCAATGTTTTGCTCACGCCTGTCTAAGTTACTCCAACATTCCAGCCCACGAGAATGGCAGGGCAGGCATGATTAGCCTGTCATAAACGAAGAAACTCGGGCACAGAGGAGAGTGACTTGGTTTACACACAGTGCTCCACGTCCCTGACATTTTCTGGGCCATCCGTGAAACGTCCAAGATAGGCTGGAGGGCAGCACATTCCAGTCTCCTTGAGAAGTTAGCCATTGTGGACAAGTTCCTGTTTTCACTGCTCAAAGTATTTTAATTGCTCAAATATTTTTGTTTACAAATGGGTTCCTGTTTTAACTGCCTTGAGCGGGTAGGGGGGAGGTGGTGATGGAATGACTAGATGAGGTAGGGAGGACATTTCTGATTTCTACTTAGGAAGGGTTTCAGAGGGAGTGAGAATTGATGGGTTCTCTAGGGAAGAAAGGAAAGGCACTAGAGAGGCTGGCAAAGGACATTTCGGGATGTGACTGGAGAGTCCACAAAGCCATAGCAGACAGAATAGAAGGGGAACTGGATTCTGTTTAGGTTTTCCTGGAGGGGATAAAATTAAACAAAAGACAGGCTGGCTAAACACGGCAGGTAGACTCCCAAATTCCTATTTCATCCTTTGGACTATCCTATTTGAGCATGAGAGCATCAATTACACCCGTCGCCAGACACAGACTGAGTGCTGACACTGACCTCGCTCGAGTTTCTTCTGCCTCATCTTCCAAGTAAAATAAAACAGCAGGAAGACGAGACATGTCCCGTCCTTTCCCAAGTCATGGGTGGAGACAGAAACCAAATGGGGGTGGGGGTGTGTGTGTGTGTGTGTGAGGAAGGGGTGGGTACAAGCAATACTTTACATGCTAAGGCAATTAAGGTCTTATACAAATTTGATTTAAATAGAAGTCACTTTAACTCCCAATACTCCAAAATTCACTTCTCTCTTGCACTGTCCTTCCAAATAGAGAGACAGCAAGCTACTAGGGGTATAAACCACGGCAGCAGCTCAAGCATCTTCCTAACTATATCCCTTGGTTCTCACCAAGAATTCTCTCCCTCACTGTTTTTCCCCATAATGCCCAACTCGGTCATTCAACTAACAAAGATTTACCGAGCACCAACTTTGTGCAGGACATCGTTGTCAAGTGCAGGGAAGGGCAGAGAAAGATCAGTCTAGTCAAGGATCTGGTTTGTAAGAAGTCCATGAGGGCTCCCCGCCAGCAGACAACAATCTAGAGAATAAGTTTAGGACACTAAGTAGTGAAAAGAAAGATGTGGTGGGGGAGGGGAGTGAGGCCACATGATGAGAGTTGAGGAAGTGGAATATTTTTTTCCAGTTAAGGAATCAAAGGCTTCAATGAGGCAGTACCATGGGGCGGGAGGGGGGAGTATTCAGTATTCAGAATTCAGAACACCTCTGTTTTTCTGGAGCCTTTTCCTGACTACCCCGGGAACATACTGACCTCTCTTTCCTGAGGGCGTCTCACTTACTGACCCATTGCTCAGCCAAAACTGCAGTGTGACGCAACCTTATGACAGTTCTTGACTTCCTGCCTCGCATTCAAGTTAACTCTCTATATCTTTACTTAACTTTCTCCTTTTTTTGTTTTTTTGCTGAGGAAGACTCACCCTGAGCTAACATCTGTTGCCAATCTTCCTCCTTTTTTGCTTGAGGAAGATTGGCTCTAGGCTAACATCTGTGCCAATCTTCCTCTATTTTGCATGTGGGTCACTGCCACAGCGTGGCTGATGAGGGGCTTAAGTCCACATCCAGGATCTGAACCTGTGAACCCAGGCTGCCAAAGGAGAGCATGCCAAACCACTAACTACTAAATCACAGGGTTGGCCCCTATTTAATTTTTTATTTGTGTTATCTCCCAACCAAATTATGGCTCCTCAGAGAGTTGAGACCCTGCATTTAGAATTTTTTGTAACAAGTCATAGCACATGCTCACGGCTTATGCCAGAGAACAGCTCAACGAATCTCTGCTGAATAAATAGATAAACGATCAGACCAAGCTTCACTGTCTGGAGCCAGAATCCTGCTGGAGTTCATGACCACTTGCAAATACCAGATGTAACAATGAATGTTTTCTAGAAAATCTGAAGACTTCTGGCAAGTGGGAGGAAATATTTTGGGGTGATAAAAATGTCTTATGTCTTGACTATAGTGGTGGGTATGGAACTGAATGCATCTTTCAAAATTCATTGACCCGTACTCCTAAAAGGGGTTAATTTTACTGTATTTCACGTAATATATAGGACTTATGATAAAAAAGTAGATAAGCATCTCTATTCAAGTTTTACGTGCGTCCTCAATGCTGGTGACCAGGATACGAAAACGAGCTTTTGTTTTCTCAGCTACAACCTGGATACCAGTTAATCTAATCACATCACCTCTAAGGCAAACATCCCCGGAGGAGTGTGTAGTCTTATGCTTCGGACAGGAAGGACCAGTTCTCTCCATCCGAACATCACCGAGGGCACTTTAGAAACTTCCCAACTCACAAGTCGCAAGCCCAAGAGAGAAGCAGGGAAATCCCAACATCTGAGATGCTCTCCGGAGATGCTTTAGGCCCCATCCCTCCGCAATATCTCTCTATCTCTCTCTTTTACGCCAGGTGAACTGATTTCCCTGAACCACCAACCTTTGCCCCCAGTGACAACACAGCAACACTGACTCCTGACCACTGAAAAGACACAGAACAGCAACCTTTCAGCCGTCTGCTACAACAAAGAGGGTCAGACGTGGCAGCAGTATCCTGATGGATAAATAAGAGTAACAAACCTAACATCCACTGAGCGCTGATCTTTGCTCTTCCCACCATGAGACCAGCTATAAGACCTCACAACCCCACAGGAAGGTACAATTATCACTCCCATTTGAGACACGAGGAAAGGCATCATGGAGAGTTAAATAACTAATTCAAGGTCAGACAGCCAGTAAGTGGCAGAACCAGGACTCAAATTCAGCTTTCTCTGATCCCAAAGCTCAGCTCAAGTACTGAGCTGAGTACACGATACGGCCTCCCTAAGAGAAGAGTTCATGGGGTCCAAACTGAGCTACTCGTGGCTTTCTAAGCCCCTCTCAGGATAAAAACTTTCAAATCTCACCTTATGAGACTCCGGGCTCCTAACCAATAATGAAATTGCTTTTCAACAGTTCTATATCGGGCGCCAAGGAAATCCTCAAATGGTTGGAGGCGCTGGAAATCCAGTAAGCTTCTCCAGCTTATTAAGGTCAGCACATTAGGAAAAGAGTCACCCACAGGAATGTAATTTTATCTAGCCC